AGTGCCCAGTCTCTCCTTAGGTACTCGGACCACTCGGTCGTTCATTTTGGCCATTTGTTCACGTTTAATTGTTCAAGTTTCGCATAGAATGGTAAAAGACTTAAGCAAACAGTAAATAGCGAAAGGAAAAAACATCTTGCAACATTTTTCAAAAGAGTTAGAAGCTGGACTGTTATAATCCATTAAAACTGTAGTGAGCCAACCTCAGGTTTAACCGGCTCAGTGGCGACTACACACTGATCAATCAAACTGTAATTTAAGGTTACTCCAAACCTTCGCGGGGCTCCTTTTACCAAGTTTTCCTTTTTAAAACAAATTAAAGTTCATTATTTAAGGTATCATTTTCCAAAAAAAATTAAGATAATATATTAAAATGCGCGCCAGTTATTGGGAAAAAGAGATTTCTCAGTAAAAGTTAATAGACCGTTAAGGTGTCACAACCCCAAAAAGGCATGGACTCCTCAGCGACCTTTTCTCGGCAAACGGCTTAATCTCAAATAATTTTATTTTAGATTTCAACTTCGTCAAGAGTGCCTCTTTGTAGTCACGCATCAGCAATCGCTCCTCAGTTTCTTTTCGTTTTGTTGCACATCGCTTTCTTTCTGTTTTGCCCATTATTGTTGACCACCGGCCTAAACCATGTGCGCCTAAAACGTAACTGTAAAACTATCGCTTTCCAGCGAATCTCTAGTTTGCATACTGTGAATGCTAGGGGTTTTGTTATTTTATTGGCTGGCGACTTTTTGAGTTGACATATCCCTCTGAGAAGGCGTGACATGTATATAAATCTTTAGAACGCGAAAATTTGCACTTGATTTTAGAGAGAATCCGTCCTCTTTAAATGAATTAAAAGGGTATGTAGAATCGACCGTTTTCCGTGAAATTTGGTCAGAACATTCACTGACAGATAAGAAACGATAATTCTTTTACTTTAAATATTTTTCTCGTGGCGGCCTCTAACGCAACACGTCACGCGAATTTTTCGATAGTGGAACTTGACAGATCTGAAAAAAGATAACCAATGGAAATAAAGAAAAATGCTGACACCCTTTGACAGATTGATGCTTCGTAACACTGCACAGTTTTTTTGCATCATCGATCGCAGTCGATGCCCGACTAATTCGCCGGAATTTCAGTCGGTCGTTTTGGCGCTAACGGCTTCTGCCGCCTTAGGAAAGCAATCGGTAAAACAGAATACAATTTTATCGATTTCATAACCTTTTGTTGATATATATATAGTTTGTGAGGGTTTCCTTGAAAAAAGTGCGCGTATAAATCTTTTTTTTTTTTTTTTCTGGAGGACACCCACAAAGGTTTGGTGTAACCTTAACCGATGTAATTTAACTACTAAGTTAACTTTAATCATGATCATAGACAGTGTTGTGTCATTTATTGACCGCAAACTGACAAAAGGGAATATCTTACTTGTGAATTACTTTTGAAAACACGCTGATTTAGCCCTCTTCTCTAAAATGAAGCAGATTTGAACTTGGTCGTTTGTTGTGCTGGGATATGAAAATGAGTCAATTTACAGGCTGACTTACGATGCAAAATCCTGGCAGTGACCTGACTGTCTAGGTTGCATATTAGTTATTTAACCTGAGAAGAGCTAAATCGATGTCTATAGATAATCTATACGTAAGCTTCTTTGAACGTAAGCCTTGCAAGGTTATATGGTTTATCCGTTGTTATCTTTAAAGTTTGTCAATGCACGTGTCATATCAAGCCATGAAACAATTGTTGCCAGAAAAAAAATTCGTTTTCAGTGAAATTTGCAATGACACTGACATTTACAATGACTTGTGAGTTCAAATCATTTCGGCAGCGCCCACACCACACCGGAAAAATTTGAAAACAGCTTTATACTTACGGATTGGCCTACCGTCCTCATGGACGGTAGACTGAAAATGAAACATCGCCATCCCAAGGCCGTGAGATTCGATCAGCTATTATGAATCACCAAAGAACCATTAGGAGCTTATCGAAAACGCTCTTCAAGTCCGAGAAATTTAAAAACGACGGCTTTTCGTTTTCGTGAGGACGGAAAACGTTTTGAAAACGGTGCTTTTCGAAAACGATGTAGCCACGAACATCACGTGATTTCCCTGATCGAGTTTTCCACAAACACGAATAAAAAATAACCGGTGATTGTTCCAGTTTTAAATTCCTCAGGCGTGCGAAGTGTGGGCGGAAAACATTCGATCCGTTTTCAGAATGAAACCCCATTTTCAAATTTCTCCGGC